CTACAGCAGAGACACAGCTACAGCAGAGACACAGCTACAGCACAGACACAGCTACAGCACAAACACAGCTACAGCACAGACACAAACACAGCTACAGCACAGACACAGACACAGCTACAGCACAGACACAGCTACAGCACGGACACAGCTACAGCACGGACACAGCTACAGCACGGACACAGCTACAGCACAGACACAGCTACAGCACAGACACACACAGCTACAGACACAGCTACAACACAGACACAGCTACAGCACAGCTACAGACAGAGCTACCACACAGACACAGCTACAGCACCGACACAAACACAGCTACAGCACAGACACACACAGACACAGCTACAACACACGCACAGCTACAACACGAACACAGACACAGCTACAGCACGGACGCAGCTACAGCACGGACGCAGACACAGCGACAGCACGGACACTGACACAGCTACAGCACAGTCACAGCTACAGCACAGACAGACACAGCTACAGCAGAGACACAGCTACAGCACAGACACAGACACAGCTACAGCACAGACACAGCTACAGCAGAGACACAGACACAGCTACAGCAGAGACACAGCTACAGACACAGCACAGACACAGCTACAGCACAGACAGACACAGCTACAGCACAGACGCAGCTACAGCACGGAAGCAGCTACAGCACAGACGCAGCTACAGCACGGACACAGCTACAGCACGGATGCAGCTACAGCACGGACGCAGACACACCTACAGCACAGACACAGCGACAGCACGGACACGGACACAGCTACAGCAGAGACACAGCTACAGCAGAGACACAGCTACAGCACAGACACAGCTACAACACAGACACAGCTACAGCACAGCTACAGCACAGACACACACAGACACAGCTACAGCACAGACACAGCTACAGCACGGACACAGCTACAGCACGGACACAGCTACAGACACAGCTACAGCACAGACACAGCTACAGCACAGACACAGACACAGCTTCAGCACAGACACAGCTTCAACACGGGCACAGCTTCAACACAGACACAGCTACAGCACAGACACACCTTCGACACAGACACACCCACCAACACACCTGCAGCACAGACACACCCACCAACAGACACCTGAAGCACAGACACCCTTACCAACAGACACCTGAAGCACAGACACCGTCACCAACAGACACCTTCAACACAGACACACCTTCAACACAGACACACCCACCAACACACCTGCAGCACAGACACACCCACCAACACACCTGCAGCACAGACACACCCACCAACACACACCTGAAGCACAGATCTTACCTTACCAACAGACACCATCACCAACAGACACCTTCAACACAGACACACCCACTCACACCTGCAGCACAGACACACTCACCCACACACACCTGCAGCACAGACACTCACCCACACACACCTGCAGCACAGACACACCCACCGACAGACACCTGAAGCACAGACACCCTTACCAACAGACACCTGAAGCACAGACACCGTCACCAACAGACACCTTCAACACAGACACACCTTCAACACAGACACACCCACCAACACACCTGCAGCACAGACACACCCACCAACACACCTGCAGCACAGACACACCCACCAACACACACCTGAAGCACAGACACCCTTACCAACAGACACCATCACCAACAGACACCTTCAACACAGACACACCTTCAACACAGACACACCCACTCACACCTGCAGCACAGACACACTCACCCACACACACCTGCAGACACTCACCCACAGACACCTGCAGCACAGACACACCTGCAGCACAGACACACTCACCTACACACAGCTGCAGCCCAGACACACTCACCTACACACAGCTGCAGCCCAGACACACTCACCTACACACAGCTGCCGCACAGACACAATCACCTACACGCACCTGCCGCACAGACACACCTGCAGCACAGACACACTCACCTACACACAGCTTCAGCCCAGACACACTCACCTACACACAGCTTCAGCCCAGACACAATCACCTACACGCACCTGCCGCACAGACACACTCACCTACACGCACCTGCCGCACAGACACACTCACCTACACGCACCTGCCGCACAGACACACTCACCTACACGCACCTGCCGCACAGACACACTCACCTACACGCACCTGCCGCACAGACACACTCACCTACACGCACCTGCCGCACAGACAGGGCCATCAGGAACAGCTAATTCAGGCCGTTGTGAGGTTCTAGTCTTACAGAACATCGTTGATTGTGTTTGTGTGTTTTTCAGATGTTAGTCACATGATCCACATCATCGACACAGAGCACCCCTGGGACGTTTACTCTATCAACTCTACACACAGTGAGGTCATTTCCTGTCTGGAGTGGGACCAATCAGGTAAGGTTTACACTGAGCTCAGTCGCCGGCTCCCTGCACCAAACTCCCTGCACCAAACTCCCTTTAAGAAATATCACATTTTAACAATTCCTGATCAATATCATCCATAAAGATACAGTGTATTCTGATCAATATCATCCATAAAGATACAGTGTATTCTGATCAACAATCAATAAAGATAGTTTATTCTGATCAATATGATCTGGCTCAGGCTCTGTTATAGCTGCACTCTTTCAGTGGGAGAATACTGTGATGTGATGTCTGTGTGTGTGTTTATTGATTGATTGTATGTGCAGGGTCCAAGCTGCTGTCTGCAGATGGTGACGGTCAGATTAAATGTTGGTCGATGTCAGATCACCTGGTGAACAGCTGGGAGAGCGTCCTGTCCAGTTCTGTGGACGGAGATCCAATCGTAGCTCTGAGCTGGCTGCACAACGGAGTCAAACTGGCCCTGCATGTTGAGATGGTAGCGATCATACATACAAACTACACTTTAAAATTCAATTTCAGTTACATTTTATTTGTATAGCACCAATTTATAACAGAAGTTATCTCAGGACACTTTTCAAATAGAGCAGGTCTAGACCGAACTCTTTAAAACATTATTTACAGAGACCCTGGAGACAAGGGCAAGGAAAAACTTCCTATAAATACTCTTAAAACATCCAAGAAGTGAAGTTAGTAACAGTAGTATGCATTAATGGGACATGAATGAGTGCAGAAAGAGAGAGGAAGAGAGGAGCTCAGTGCACCATGGGAAATCCCCCGATAGTCTAGGCCTATAGCAGCATAACTAAGGGATGGTTCAGGACTCACCTGAGCCAACCCTAACTATAAGCTTTATCAAAGAGGAATGTCTTAAGCCTACTCTTGAATGTGGTGAGGGTGTCTGCCTCCAGAACCACAAATGGAAGCTGGTTCCACAGGAGAGGAGCTTGGTAACTGAAGGCTCTGGCTCCTGTTCTACTTTTAGAGACTATAGGAACCACAAGTAGCCCAGCATTCAGAGAACGTAGTGTTCTAGTGGGGTAATAGGGTACTATGAGCTCTTTAAGATATGAAGGGGCCTGACCATGAAGAGCTTTATAGGTGAGGAGGAGGATTTTAAATTCAATTCTACATTTTACAGGGAGCCAGTGCAGAGAAGCTAGTACAGGAGAGATGTGATCTCTTTTTCTAGTTCCTGTCAGTACTCGTGCTGCAGCGTTCTGAATTAATTGGAGCGTTTTAATGGACTTATTGGGGCAACCTGATAATAAAGAGTTGCAGTAATCCAGCCTTGAAGTAACAAATGCATGGATTAGTTTTTCTGCATCTGTCTGTGATAGGATGTGTATAATTTTTGTAATATTACGTAAATGAAAGAAGGCAGTCCTAGAGGTCTGCTTTATGTGGGAGTTAAATGACAAATCCTGATCAAAGATAACTCCAAGATTCCTGACAGTGGTGCTAGAGGCCAAGTTAATGCCATCTAGAGTAACTATATCTTTAGACAGTGAGTCTCTAAGGTTTTTGGGGCCAAGAACAAGAATTTCGTTTTTTTCTGAGTTTAACATCAGAAAATTGCAGGTCATCCAGGATTTTATGTCCTTAAGACATGTTTGTAATTTTGATAATTGATTGAGAGGAACGTCTTAAGCCTACTCTTGAATGTGGTGAGGGTGTCCTAAGTTGTCCTAAGTTATGACATACAGTTATATATGTCATACATTCAGACTGGGTTAGGGTTACAGGTGAAAAATAATCCTCTCTCCTGTGTTTCAGTCGGGTTCCACAAACTTCGGTGAGAAGTTCTCTCGGGTGAAATTCTCTCCATCTTTGACTCTGTTTGGCGGGAAGCCGATGGAGGGCTGGTTGGCGGTGACAGTGAGCGGTTTGGTCACTGTGTCGTTGTTGAAGCCGGGTGGTGCCCTGCTGACGGCCAGCGAGAGTCTGTGCCGGCTGCGAGGACGAGTGGCGTTAGCTGACATCGCCTTCACAGGGGGAGGTAACATTGTGGTGGCAGCTACTGATGGCAGCAGCTCGTCGCCTGTTCAGTTCTACAAGGTGAGAGCCAGCAGAACCTCTAACCTTCACCGGTTCCACGACCAGGATGACATTAACGTGTCCTGTGTGTTCAGGTGGTGGTCAGCGTGGTGAGTGAGAAGTGCCGCATCGACACAGAACTGTTACCATCTCTGTTCCTGCGCTGCACCACCGACCCGCTGAGGAGGGAAAAATACCCTGCCGTCACCCACCTCAAGTTCCTCACCAGAGAGAACTCTGAACAGGTAACCAGTAGAACCAGAGAACTCTGAACAGGTAACCAGTAGAACCAGAGAGAACTCTGAACAGGTAACCAGTAGAACCAGAGAGAACTCTGAACAGGTAACCAGTAGAACCAGAGAACTCTGAACAGGTAACCAGTAGAACCAGAGAGAACTCTGAACAGGTAACCAGTAGAACCAGAGAGAACTCTGAACAGGTAACCAGTAGAACCAGAGAGAACTATGAACAGGTAACCAGTAGAACCAGAGAACTCTGAACAGATAACTAGTAGAACCAAACAATAGTGAAGTTTTATTTCAGGAATTCTGACAGATCTGAGGAAAGTAGAATATGAAGAACAGGTCAGATTTCAGTTGGTCACTGAGAACCTGACAGAACGTGTGTTGCAGGTTCTGCTGTGTGCGTCCAATCAGAGCGGCAGTATCGTGGAGTGTTGGTCTCTGAGGAAAGAAGGACTTCCTGTCAACAACATCTTCCAGCACCGATCACCAGTGGGTAAGGAATACTGACTGGTTCTAACTGGTTCTAAGTGCTGAGGTGGCAATGGTTTGACCTCTGACCCGTTTTCCTGTGTCCAGTCGGGGAGAAGCAGCCCACCATCCTGAAGTGGAGGATCCTGACAACCACCAACGATCTGGAGCGAGTGTCGGCCGTCGCTCTGCCCAAACTGCCCATCTCCATCTCCAACACCGACCTGAAGGTGGCGTCAGACACAAAGTTCTGCCCCGGACTGGGTGAGGAGAACTCAACATTGTTAGTGTCTGTTTACCTTCCGACTGAACGTCCCTTACAGCTCATCTGTATCACACAGTGATATGACTGTTTGATACTGTATATGATTATAAACTGTGTATTACTTCAGATACTCACACAGAGAAACCAGAGAGGGTCTGAGTCTGAGAACCAGTTTTCTCTGTCCCCCTCTGTTTTCAGGTCTTGCTCTGGCTTTTCACGACGGCAGTATTCAGATCCTCCACCGTCTCTCCCTCCACACTATGGGGGTTTTTTATGGCTCCTCAACCTCCTCGTCGGGTCAGAGACCTGGAGACGAGTCTGCCATCAAACGCCAAAGAACCGGAGGCCCTGCCCTCCACTTCAAGGCCCTGCAGTTTTCATGGACCTCACTGGCCCTGGCTGGAGTCGACAACCATGGCAAGGTGAGGACTTTAGTTTTATTGTTAAACTTCATGCGTTTTCTGCTTAAAACACCTAATTTTTGTTGTTGTTTCAGCTCCACATGCTGCGAGTGTCGCCCTCTATGGGTCAGGTCCTGGAGATGAACACGACGCTGCGCCACCTGCTGTTCCTGTTGGAGTACTGCATGGTGACAGGTTATGACTGGTGGGACGTCCTGCTGCACGTGCAGCCCACCATGGTCCACAACCTGGTGGAGAAGCTGCATGAAGAGTACATGAGGCAGAACCAGGCATTGCAGCAGGTCAGCAAGGCATGATGGGAGAAAGGCGAGAAGGCAGTAGATCAGACCAGAGTTTCCCTTTAACATTTAAATGTTTAACAGCCTTTATAGTTTCCTGTTCTCAGGAACAACAGCACTAAACTACACTTCTTATGATGCCTCTTTAAGCCGAGTGATGTCTGTCTCAGGTTCTGGCGACCCGTATCGTGGCGGTGAAGGCATCTCTCTGCAAACTCTCCACAGCGACAGCAGCTCGAGCCTGCGACTTTCACGCCAAACTACTGCTGATCGCCATCAGCTCCACCTTAAAGTCTCTGCTGAGGCCACACGTCCTCAACACACCTGACAAGAGTCCAGGTGACCGCCTGACCGAGATCTGTGCCAAGAACTCTGACACAGGTGAGTTACCTGGGGGACAGGTGAGAGGACAGGAGGCACAGGGCATCAGATATCAATAGGTGATGATCAGTGGTGGATCACTGTGTTTCCTCAGATATTGATAAGGTGATGATCAATCTGAAGACGGAGGAGTTTGTGTTGGACGGCCCCCCCCTTCAGTCCCTGCAGCAGCTCATCCAATGGGTGGGAGACTTTGTCCTCTACCTGCTGGCCAACCTTCCCAACCAGGTGAGCCAACGAGAACACAGTGATAAGTTCAGGTAATGAGAGAACTAGTCATCAACGTTCCTTCAAGATAAAATGACCACAAAGAGACAGAATTCACAGTGATACGAAACAGCCACAAAAAGGAAACCATCTTGAACCAAAAACATACCTAGAACCATCTGACAGCGACCCAGCAGAGCAGACTAGAACCCAGGAACTAAACTCCAGCCAGCAGTCTCCACTTCATCAGTCCGAAATATTACTGATACACTTAAAAATATCTAACCCTCATTGCTGGACAAAATAATAATAAAGGTTCACACAACTGCAACCACCCAGTCCTGATTCCTGACAGACACTGTGGTCCTAATATGAAGACCTAATGTGGTGTTCTCTGTTTCTGCAGGGCTCCTTGGTCCGGCCAGGGTTCGGCTTCATGAGGGACGGGGCATCCCTGGGGATGCTGAGGGAGATGTTGGTGATGATCAGGATTTGGGGTCTGCTGAAGCCTGGCTGTCTGCCCACCTTCACTGCCACGTCAGACAACCAGGACAGCATGCAGCTGCTGTTCAGACTGCTCACTAAGCTGTGGCTCTGCTGTATGTTGAGGTTTACTGTTAATGGTCCTGATTATAGGGCCTGGAGGCAGATTTGGCTCCTGTCCTGTTGATCCTCAGTGTGATCAGCACTACCAACACTTCACAATGACAGAACACATAGAGTGTTGAGTTAATGTATCTCCTCCGTTCTTTTTCACTGACTGTGTCTCAGCCCGGGATGATGCCCCCCCCCAGGACCCTGATGAGAGTCTGATAGACGAGTGCTGCCTGTTGCCCAGTCAGCTGCTGGTTCCCAGTATGGAGTGGCTCCCAGTGAACGACGGCGTCATCGTCAAGCTGCAGGGTAAACACCCTCTTAGGCTGCAGTTTGGAAAAGCTTCGTCTCTGCCTGGAGGTGGCTCCGCCGCCCCACTGGAGGTCTTCACCAGGTAACACTCTGAACCTGAACCTGAACCTGAACCTAGACTCACTGAGGAGCAGAAGCTTGAACATGCTCAGCACTGGTAGTGAAATAAAACAGAACATACAGGAGATAAACAGAAGATAAATAGAATATTAAAATAAAAAAAAAGATCACAGATACTCTGTGATAGAAAAAGATGTCAGATCTGACGGATCAATTGATCAATTCAATTCAGTTTTATTTGTATAGCACTGATTAATAACAGAAGTTTTCTCAGGACACTTTTCAAAATAGAGCAGGTCTAGACCGAACTCTTTATAACATTATTTACAGAGACCCAACAGTACAACCATAAGCAAGCACTTGGAGACAAGGGCAAGGAAAAACTGCCTGTTAAGAGGCAGAAACCTAGGACAGACCCTTCGGCTCTAGGTGGGTGGTCGTCTGCCTTAAAACTTCCACCATAGAAATTCATCAAGTGAAACAAGCGTAAAGGTTATAGACTACAATGACACACAGAAGTGCAAATGATGGAAGTGAAGAGAAAGTTTACAAAAATATGTATAGATTGTTTTCTCCTGTCAGATGGCGACACAGATGCAGATTTATCAGTTAATAACAATTTCCACTCTAAGTACTTTAAAATCATAAAGGCGAAACATTTTGCCTTTGAACTGAAGCCTCTGGAGCATCGTAATAGAAATGGTTTGTGATCACTGATCAATCTGTGTGTGTGTGTGTGTGTGTGTGTGTGTGTGTGTGTGTGTGTGTTTGTGTATGTTTGTGTGTGTGTGTAGGAGCCCTGGCTCTCAGAAGATGGATAATCTGCGTTGTGTCCATATGGGAGTTTGTCCCACTGAGGAGAGCAAGGCCTGCACCAGGTGAGTCCACAGGAACTATTACTGCTGATGTGTCATATACATATAATTAGGGTTATATATTTATGTATGTATGTATGTATCTCTATCTCAGGGTTTTATGCAGAATATATATTTTGTGTTTTCAGGTGTGGCTGTGTGACGATGCTTCGTTCTCCCAACAAGACAAACGCCATGAAGCAGTGGGAGCAACGGTGGATCAAAAACTGTCTGTGTGGAGGTCTGTGGAGGAGGATCCCTCCATCACACACCTGAACACATCACACACACCTGAACACATCACACACCTTAACCATGTTCCTGAGCTGATGACTTGTCAGTAAACTGAACCTGATATGATGTCAAATTTCTGCCTGTAAATGAAGCTTGTTTTGTATTTTACTTTGTAATAAAACTCAAAATAAAAGGCTCTGTTGCTTTATGCTGTTTCTGTATTTCAGGCTGATTTCAGTATTTTAGAGTCAATATTTAAATGTGATTTCCGTGAGGTTGACAATAAATGGATTAATAAATCAATAAGTAACTCCAGCAGAAGGCAGCAGCCAGCCCAGTTTGGTTTCAAATGTAACAAGTTACAAACATAAGTGAATGTAATGATCAGTTATGGCCACATTTTAGCCTCTAGTCATCGGCTAAAGTTCAGTGAAGAAATACTATGTGTTTGTAAAAGTATTGATTTCTAATGTCACCTTTAGATATTTCTGTTCAATGCTTTACTAACGTGCCACAATAATGTTTGTGAATTCAAATATCTTAATTTTCAGTCAACATGTCTTGTCAGGGACCGAGCTGGCAGGCATGAGGAGTCAAAGGTAAATTTTCACAAAAAAATGTGAAAATAATTAATTTACAAAATATACAAAATGTTCTGGGGCCATAAAAGAGGTCAACTAAACAGAACTTAACTCAGGCTACATTAACTGAACTAACTGAGCATACTAAACCAACCAACCTAAACTGAGACATTGGCAAAACTTAAATAGTGGCTGATCAGGCCACTCTGACACACGGGGAATAGACTAAAACATAACATTTAAACAAACCATAATACCCTCCAATATATATATATAGAATAACTAAACTCAAACAAAGAGAATCACTTCCTCTCCCCATGATTCCGGCCAACATGGTGTAGCCCAATTATCGGCCCAACCCCTTTTAAGTGTCTCTGAATCTGCCGGCACTTCCTTTGTCAGCCATGCAACATTGTCAGCAGCAGCACCCAGGAACTGGTAACTCAAAGAAAAATGAATTAATGCAATGAAAAATAACCTGAATGAACCTAATAATACTACCGAAAATTGACAACAAAAGTTAACTAATTGTGTGCACCCAAAAAGATAACTACTGTCAAAACCGGATAATAAAACTATGTATTATGAATCCAAAATCTGTGTCCAGTTATTTATTGTCAATCGTGTCTAATGTTCTAAGCCTAAATATAATCAAATGAAAGAGTTACCACCATGCGCTTTGTGCCTCAATGTGCGGCTGCTAGGGCGGCCATCACATCCCCCCTTCGGAACTCTCGTTGTGACAACGAGAGAGATAATCTGCCGTCACATTGAGTTTGCCAGGGATGTGCTGTACTGTGAAGCGGAAGGGTTGCATGGCCAGATACCAACGGGTGACTCTGCCATTAGTGTCCTTCATCCGCTGCAACCACTGGAGGGCCTTGTGATCAGTCTGTAGAGTGAACTCCCTCCCCAGAAGGTAGTATTTGTAAGAGTCGAGAGCCCACTTGATCGCCAGGGCTTCTTTCTCCACAGTAGAGTAGCGGACTTCCCTGGGGAGCAGCTTGCGGCTGATGAAAGCCACTGGATGTTGGTCCTCTGTGGGTCCTTGCAGAAAGACAGCACCGATACCCCTCTCTGAGGCATCTGTTTGCAAGAGAAAGGGTTTCTCAAAGTCAGGACTGTAAAGGACTGGGTTCTTACCCAGAGACTGCTGAATTCAGTTTTTTTTTTCTCAATTTTATTTATTTGTATAGCGCCAATTCATAACAGAAGTTATCTCAGGACACTTTTCAAATAGAGCAGGTCTAGACCGAACTCTTAATAACATTAATTACAGAGACCCAACAGTACCACCATGAGCAAGCACTTGGCGACAAGGGCAAGGGAAAACTGCCTGTTAAAAGGCAGAAACCTAGGACAGATCCTTCGGCTCTAGGTGGGTGGTCGTCTGTCTCGACCAGTTGGGGTGAGAGAGAGAGAGAGAGAGAGAGACAAACAGACAGGTGCACAGCAACAACAGTATTGGCAATGGCAATGTAGCAGGACCATGGCAGGAGGCTCCACCAGGATAAATTAGAACCTGCGAGACGAGAAAGCACAAGAACTCCGGGGAAGAAGTGAAGTTAGTAACATGCATTAAAGGGACATGAACGAGTGCAGAAAGAGAGAGGAAGAGAGGAGCTCAGTGCACCATGGGAACCCCCCGATAGTCTAGGCCTATAGCAGCATAACTAAGGGATGGTTCAGGACTCACCTGATCCAGCCCTAACTATAAGCTTTATCAAAGAGGAATGTCTTAAGCCTACTCTTGAATGTGGTGAGGGTGTCTGTCTCCCGAACCACAACTGGAAGCTGGTTCCAAAGGAGAGGAGCTTGGTAACTGAAGGCTCTGGCTCCTGTTCTACTTTTAGAGACTATAGGAACCACAAGTAGCCCAGCATTCAGAGAACGTAGTGTTCTAGTGGGGTAATCGGGTACTATGAGCTCTTTAAGATATGAAGGGGCCTGACCATGAAGAGCTTTATAGGTGAGGAGGAGGATTTAAAATTCTATTCTACATTTTACAGGGAGCCAATGCAGAGTAGCTAGTACAGGAGAGATGTGATCTCTTTTTCTAGTTCCTGTCAGTACTCATGCTGCAGCGTTCTGAATTAATTGGAGCGTTTTAATGGACTTATTGGGGCAACCTGATAATAAAGAGTTGCAGTAATCCAGCCTTGAAGTAACAAATGCATGGATTAGTTTTTCTGCATCTGTCTGTGATACGATGTGTCTAATTTTTGTAATATTACGTAAATGAAAGAAGGCAGTCCTAGAGGTCTGCTTCATGTGGGAGTTAAATGACAAATCCTGATCAAAGATAACTCCAAGATTCCTGACAGTGGTGCTAGAGGCCAAGTTAATGCCATCTAGAGTAACTATATCTTTAGACAGTGAGTCTCAGGTTTTTGGGGCCAAGAATTTCGTTTTTTTCTGAGTTTAACATCAGAAAATTGCAGGTCATCCAGGATTTTATGTCCTTAAGACATGTTTGTAATTTAGATAATTGATTAATTTCATCGGGCTTGATTGATAGATATAACTGCGTATCATCTGCATAACAGTGAAAGTTAATGGAGTGATTCCTAATAATGATGATAATAGTAATTAAGGTCCCGGAATGTTGACACTGCCTCCTCCGTCCACTGGACTTGGTTGGGGCACCTTGATCCGGTCCTATCTGTGAGTGGGGCAGCTCTGGCTGAAAAGTTGGGGATGAACCGGTGATAAAAGCCTGCCATCCCCAGGAAGGACCTCAGTTGCTTCCTGGTTTGGGGCAGGGGACAGGACTCCATGGCGTGTACCTTGTGGACCTGTGGTTTGATCACTCCATTCCTAATGATGAACCCCAAATATTCAGTTTCAGGCTTGGCAAAGACACACTTTGCCGGGTTAATGGTCATGCCTGCTGATTGGAGGCGCTCCAGGACGCCACTCAGGTGCCTGAGATGCTCCTTCCAAGTAGCACTGTAAATCACAATGTCATCGAGATATGCACAGGCATAGTCATCACATCCACTCAATACCTGATCCATTAGCCTCTGGATATTGATATTGAACATTTAATAGTCTTCCCACATAATCCTTTCCTATCTGACCATTATTTAATAACTTTTGAATTCATACTATTAGATTATAAGCCATTAGGCAAAACTTCCTACAGCAGATGTCTATCTGACAGTGCTGTAGCTAAATTTAAGGAGGAGATTCCTTCAGTGTTTAATTCAATGCCATGTCTGAATTTAACAGAGTCCTATAACAACTTTAGTCCCTCTGAAATTGATAATCTTGTCGATAGTGCTACAGGCTCACTACGATCAACATTAGACTCTATCGCTCCTATAAAAAGGAAATTATTAAAACATAGGAGACTAGCACCTTGGTATAACCACCAAACCCGCCAGTTAAAGCAAATAGCTAGGAAATCTGAAAGGAAATGGCGCTCTTCCAAATTATCAGAATATCGCTCAAATTGGCAAGATGATCTTAAGATTTATAGAAAGGCCATCCGTAATGCCAGAGGAGCCTATTACTCAGCACTAATAGAAGAAAATAAGAACAACCCTAGGTTCCTCTTCAGCACTGTAGCCAGGCTGACAGAGAGTCACAGCTCTATCGAGCCACATATCCCCATAAACTTAAGTAGCAATGACTTCATGAGCTTCTTCTATAATAAAATTATTACTATTAGAGAAAAAATTAATCACCAACTGCCATCAACAGTTATCAGTGGCTCTCCAAGTTCAGGGACTTCTGTCAATGTAAACTTAGATGTATATTTAGACTGTTTTTCTGCTATCGATCTTCATCAGTTAACTTCAATCATTTCTTCATCGAAGCCATCAACCTGTCTGTTAGACCCGATCCCAACTAGGCTGCTTAAAGAAGTTGTTCCCTTAATTGGCACTTCTTTACTGGATATGATTAATCTTTCTTTATTATCAGGATATGTACCACAGTCCTTTAAAGTAGCTGTAATTAAACCCCTTCTTAAAAAGTCTACTCTTGACCCAGGGGTTTTAGCCAACTATAGACCGATTTCTAACCTCCCGTTCCTCTCTAAGATTCTGGAGAAAGTAGTCGCCAAAGAGTTGTGTGACTTTCTACATAACAATAGTTTATTTGAGGATTTTCAGTCAGGATTTAGAGTTCATCATAGCACAGAGACAGCTCTGGTTAAAGTTAATAATGACCTTCTGACTGCTTCTGACAATGGACTTGTCTCTGTACTTGTATTATTAGATCTTAGTGCTGCATTTGACACCATTGACCATGATATTCTTTTACAGAGACTTGAGCATCAAATTGGCATTAAAGGAACTGCCCTAACCTGGTTTAAGTCATACTTATCAGATCGTACTCAGTTTGTACATGTTAACGATGAATCCTCCATAAATACTAAAGTTAGTCATGGAGTTCCACAAGGTTCTGTACTTGGACCAATACTATTTACTTTATATATGCTCCCTTTAGGCAACATTATTAGGAATCACTCCATTAACTTTCACTGTTATGCAGATGATACGCAGTTATATCTATCAATCAAACCCAATGAAATTAATCAATTATCTAAATTACAAACATGTCTTAAGGACATAAAATCCTGGATGACCTGCAATTTTCTGATGTTAAACTCAGAAAAAAC